TGCAAGAAAGCAACAGCTTGCAAAGAAAATCAAGATTCTTTGCTGACTCTGACGTGATTCGAGCACGCAACCTTCTGATCTGGAGTCAGACGCGCTGCCGTTGCGCCACAGAGTCTGTACTGTGATGATCAATGGCCACTGGTCCAGTTCCTGTCAGAGCTCTAGATAACCTGCTGAAGATTCCCAATGCCATGAAGTGAGTAACCTGGAAGCAGCAACAACAAAATGAATGTCTTGCTTGATGTTTGTCTTCTGTGTGACAGAAGCCTTCAATTTCCCTTCACAGTGACAATTTTTTTTATTCTTTGAGAGAACAATCCACCAAAAGTTATCTCAGAGTTCATTTGAGGTGTAGCTTCCTTGCTGACTCTGACGTGATTTGAACACGCAACCTTCTGATCTGGAGTCAGACGCGCTGCCGTTGCGCCACAGAATCCTGCTGTTCAGCATTTCTCGTATGCCTTTTATTATTTTAATGAAATTCTGTGTATATAATCATTGTGGTCCCTTTGGTCTGTCTGGAAGCTTTGACCTCCAGAGCTGAAGACGGACAAGTGATGAGCACAACTACTCATCAACGTGAAACTGTGGGTTCAAAAGCCACCTGCTCAACTAAAGGTGTGTGATTGGACCAATGAGTGCATGTGAATAGAAACTTTCAAACAACAACTAAATGTATGCAAAGAGAAAAATGATGGAAAATCATGTTTGGTTTCCGTCAACGTTATGCCAATTTGGAGAATCTCAGAGAACAGTTGGTAAGTCTAAACTCACTTCTAGTTTTTGAAACGATACTGAGGAAATGCTTTTACTTCAATTAGGTGGCCGACTTCAATGTGTTTTGCTGTGGACTGTGATGAAAGAGATTCGATGAGAGTGAGAGATGGACTTCAGCAGTTGTGTTGCAAGAAAGCAACAGCTTGCAAAGAAAATCAAGATTCTTTGCTGACTCTGACGTGATTCGAGCACGCAACCTTCTGATCTGGAGTCAGACGCGCTGCCGTTGCGCCACAGAGTCTGTACTGTGAAGATCAATGGCCACTGGTCCAGTTCCTGTCAGAGCTCTAGATAACCTGCTGAAGATGCGCAATGCCATGAAGTGAGTAACCAAGAAGCAGCAACAACAAAATGAATGTCTTGGTTGATGTTGGTCTTTATGTCTCTTTACAGTGACAGTTATATTTAAGAGAACAATGCGTCAACCCACCAAAAGATATCTCAGAGAAAGCATTTAGGTTGAGCTTCCCTACTGACTCGATTTGAACACGCAACCTTCTGATCTGGAGTCAGACGCGCTGCCGTTGCGCCACAGAGTCTTTTCAGATAGCTTCATTGCCGCCGGTTGAGTTCTTGGGAGATTTATAAATGACTAAAAAGTCCAACTACTGAGGTGTCTATAAGCTGCAACCACAGAATTTGCCTTGCACCTCTGTTTTACATGACACGTTCAATCTGGAATGGTCAACTGTTTTAGTTAACGTCTGGAAGGTTAGGCCGAGTTAGATGGGCTTAGTACTTCTGCAAGTCTTCCTTAGCTGACTCTGACGTGATTTAAACACGCAACCTTCTGAT